GTTGGTCAGTAATAGTCCAAATTCAATACGAACGTTTGTTTCTTGAAAATTTGATCACGATTTTAAATACAGTATTTACTTTAATATTACCAATATGTCATCGAAAAGAAAACGTGTTGTATTATCATTAAAAGACAAATTAAAGTATTTGTTTCAATTATCCGAATTTTTCCCTTATCCGGACTACCTCCATCCCCAATTAGTCCGGATAATCGAGGTTCTACTGTATATAATTCTTTATTAATTTCTAAAAAAGTCAGGATTTTTTATTATCAGATTTAATTAATAGCTAATTTAATCTAAATTTTCACATAGAAATGAATGAAAATATTAAATTATATATATTTTCTTCTAATGCATTAAAAGTTTTATTTGTTTAATCAAAAAGAGCAAATTTTATACTGTACATGTACAGAAATAATTAGTTTCGGATATAGTTTCACATATAAAATGCTTCACCTTATATATAAAATGTAAACTGAAAAAAATTTCTAAATCAATATTTAAAAAAAAAAACACAAATTGAATTAAGTTGCAATTACCTTCCTTATGCCATTTGAAATTCAATCTTAGTCTTATGTATAGATTTCAATTAGTTTGATTAAAAGAAAATCAATCAAATAAAAATCTTTATTTTGGTTTTGTGTTGTAAATAAGTTAAATAATTTAAGATCAAATGTTTGTTCAACCATTTAAAGTATTTTAACTCGCTGATCAAACCCTTCAGATAATTTTTGTGACCTTATTTGATAAAATAACAAAACTTGCACTTGTCTAAAAACAGATTATTTTTTTAACTTACCATATTGATGCCCTACAGAAAATGTAGCAAGATGTTCTAACAAATAAATTGGTCCATCATCATTGGAATCACTGTGCTGATCTGCACAGAAAGGAAATAACCTTATAATATATATAATTCAAAATCTGATCTAATATTCATAACCATAAAAGCAATATTAAAATTTTATTAAAATTGTTACCCTCTTTTCCATTTGCCACTCATAAACATCTTCATTTCATCAACTATTTCATGTGCCTAATAAATAAAATTTTTATTATGTTTAACACATTATGAAATGAATTTATCATGAAACAAACATTTTACTGTAAACATCAAAACTTACTTTAACACGTGCACATTGAAATATATGCATTTCAGATGGAGAATGATTCTTGTTCTTTGGATCTCCTTTTACAATAAAAATAAGAATGTTGTTATATAGTTCTCTTGGATCATCACTTGTGTAAGCAATTGGATCACTTATGAGTGACATAGGAAATCTTTCAACAATATCCTGTAAAAATTATTATNTCCACGAAGTAGTTAAACACGACCATGTTACACTATAGTTAAACGACCTTGAACAAACGCTTAATTTACCGATTATGTTTACGGTATTTAGTGTGTTGAAGGTCTGAAAATAACAACAACATAATAAAACTTTAAAGCGATTTTTTACACTGAAATATCAAATGAAACAAACACGTATAATTTATATATATATATATATATACACACACACACACACACACACATTATATTATTTATTTTTTCGATTGTAAAAATCTTGTTTGAATGTTTAGTTCTGAAGGCGATTTGCTATCCACTTCACAGGATGGAAATATATTTGGAATTGTTACATTTATAATGTTATTTATGATTTAGTGACTAATAAAAATCAATACAAAAATTTGTCTGCTATATAGTTATGAAGTAAATATAATTTTTTTAACATTTTTACTTTTCTCAGTAACTGATTTATTAAAAATTACACTGTTAAAACAAAGCTGTTAAAACAGTTTGACAACAGTGTTTGTTTGGTAAAAGTTGAAAGATCATGTTACAAAGGCAATTTGCCAATCATTTTAAAACATGGAAAGCTAATCAATTTTCTCTCATTTATGACCTAAAGTTTCTTTTTTGTTACTACTATACTACAGTTCTTGTCAAATGAAACTTCAGAAAAGTTTATAGTTCTTTGGTATTATAAGTTTAATTCCAACAATAAGACAGAAGTTTAATAACACTAATATATATCTGAAAAAGTATTTTCACAATTAGAAAAAAATCAATATGAATAATGTTCAAGTCCATTAAATCTTCTTTCATTCCATTCGATGACTGTACATTAGGCAACTTGAAGCAAAAAACTTCATAAAAACCAATAAACATTATTACAAATTGTGAGAGCAGAACGTGGTGAAGAACCTGTTTGTTTGACATTTGTTCTTTTAGGAACATTTTAGAGAAACAAAATGAAAAAAAAAATTTTTAGTCAAAGACAATTAAAACTGTTTCCCACAGATTTGTTTCCTTGTTGAAGGTGACAGTCAATGTGTCACCCAGAACCCATGAATGAAATTTTAACTATTAGCAAAATGGTGAATGCAGATGAAATATGCGCAATTCAAAATCAGTTATGGGGTGGGTTCCCTCATAACAAAATTTCCATGCATTAGATATAAAAATAGAACATTATGCTCGTGCTGAAATGACGGTTAAGCACGCGTAACATCATGTATATCTAACGCATGGAAACTTTGTTATGAGGGAACCCACCCCCATAACTAATTTTGAATTGAATATATTTCATCTGCATTCACCGTTTTGCAAACATGATGTTATGCGTGCTTAACCGTCATTTAACTATTAGCCCTGATGTACTAAAAATTCTAGCGAAGTCATGGGAAAAACCCAAGAGAAGCCCCATAATAAAAAAAAAAAGGATGACAAGCAAGGCAGTCATCATCAACTCAATTTCTAGTGTGAGAGTTCGTCTGTCGAAAAAAGGGTCTGTTGTCATTGAAAGTTTGCCCTCTCTGGAGTTCATAAGTGTTCTCAAAAACCTTCCATCTGGTAACCTTACCACACTCAGATACCTTACAAGCACGAGTTCTTAGATACCTTACACATGTCGGATACTTCCCTCCAAAAACTCTCCTGTTACTGGAACAATCCGAATATCAATAATCTTCCATCGAAACTTCCGAATCATCAAGTCATCAATTCATCAATCTGATCAGTATCAAAGAGTATCCTCAACTTCTCTATAAGGTATTTATCCATGTGCATATCTCATGTAAACTCTCTCTTGCGACTGCTAGTGATAGGCTAAATCTATATATACATCTATACTGAGGTGTCTATTGTAGTGTATCATGTACTCCTCCACTGAAATTAAATTGTTATTNAAGACTAAATTCAACAACCAATAATTACTAACTTAAAATGATGTATAATAATTATTTTACATAGATTTTGGCTATAATAGCCAATATTACATCCTTACAGGTTAGAAAGAGGTAATTATATTACTATTCTCCGGTGTTGTGGTAAAGATGAGTAAATTGTTATTGTTTGTTAATCTGGAATCTGAGTGATTCACTTCCAGTACGCTGTCTCTCACTTCATCTCCATCCTGGATCTAATCACCTGTGTATGTGGCCGCTCATGTGACCGAATCAACATGTGTCTTGGCTTCTGTGCCACCTGGGGCATGGTGGTTTCAGTCCTGATGAGGCACTAAAAGAGGTGCCGACCCTCCAGTCACAAAATTAAACATTAACACCTTTTTAGTGTTTGTAGATGTCGGATCCTACAATGAAAGGCGACGTCAAGATAATTTTTTATGTGTAATTTGTAATATTGGTTTATTGGTTTTTATGTTATGAAGTTTTTTGCCTNCTCCACAACAAGAATCATATTCTTATATCGGTATTACTGTATAAGTTAAAATAAAGCATATTTTTATGTTTCTAATCAGTTTTTATATACCGCTGTATTTTTAAAATTTGTTGTAATTTTACAAAATTTTAATTAAAAAAGATACAAACAATAAGTGTTATGACTACCTGAATTGTAACCATTTGAATAATGTGACATTGTACTCCTATTATATTCACTTTCACCTCTGAGAGGTGACATAGTACGACCACGAGAATACGGATCAAATCCTGTACTGAAAATAATTATTAAAAAAGGCTTTATTACTTAAATATAATCTCTATCATATTATTCTAAGCAATTACTTTTATAATTTCTATAAATTATATAGATTATGTATCATTGAAAATATAAATTATTTAAAAAGAATTATTTTCAAATATTTTTACATTAAGCTTTATATTGATAAAACTAATTTAAAACAAACTAATAAAAACAGCAACAATAACTATCTAAGAATAAATTATCAATTTTAAAAGAAAAATTTTGAAGAATCTAATGTGTTAATAACTCTAATAATTAGTGGAAAATTTAACACACAACTTTGAATAACTTAATCAAAATAATTCTAAATTAATACTTAAATATATTCTAGTTAAAGTACACTGGACGACAAAAAAAATAACGCACCATGAAGGACTTGTTAGATCTGAATAAAAATTGATATGTTGCATCATCTTAGCTAGATATGTAAATGATTAGCTTTTGAGAGTAGGTTCTTATGTTATATCGCCACCAGAGGGGAAAAAATGTTTCCGCTGCCTGGTATAAAGGTGCACGCTGTGACGACTTGTGCATATGTTCTGCACTTTTATTCATGGTTTTGACTTCATTGAGTGACAGACATGCCTCTACGACGCATTCGACAGCCTTACACTCAGTTAAGTGAGTTTAAGAGAGGTCGCATTGTTGGATTGAGAGGAAGATGGTCATACTGCCGGATTGGCCGCCATCTGAACCGTTCTGATAGAACTGTTAGGATGTGTTNTTAGTTTAGATTAGTTTAGGTTAGTTTAAGTTAGTTTAGGTTAGATTACGGTTAGGTTAGGTTAGTTTAGGTTAGTTTAGGTTAGGTTAGTACGGGTTGAGAAGAAGGAAGGCCCCGAGCGACGAGAAAAAGAAATCGGAGAGAGGAAGGGTCGAGAATCGATCCCGCGACCCGGAGATCCGAAGGCCCCGAAAGGGCGCGGGGGCCGGAATCCCGAAAGGGACAAGGGGAACCGAACCGCCGGCCGACGGAACTGGACCGGGGACCGAGGGAGGACGCCCGGGCGACCGGAGCAGGTCTCCAAAGGTCGGAGGTCAGAGGGCAAAAGGGAAACGACGCACAGACGAGAGCTGCGCTCTTACATGGATATAGAATCATTGAATAAAATGACTTGGATATAGAATCATTAATAAAATGAAAAAAGATTTATAGACTTGAACATTGTTCATATTGTCTTAACTTTTTTCTAATTGTGAAAATCCTTTTTTCAAATGTGAAAATAATCCTGGGCTCATGTATCACTAATATATATATAATGATATAATGATAAATGGCGATTGACAACTTAACCAGATTAAACTTCTCTAACAGATAAAGAGTATTGTTCGGCTTTTTACAACCTGCCCTCCTTCCCTATTCCTATTTTAACCCAGTCTTTATTTAATGCCTACAGTCAAAATTCATCCTCTGAAAGAGTATTTGAACCTATTCTTTGTTTTCTTTTCTAAATATTTCATACGTAATTAATTCTTTTGGAATATTGAAGACAGGACATTGAATTTTCATAAGGTTGAAAATGGACGATGATGACATCTATTATTTAGAGTGTTTGCTATTTAGAAGTAAATATAATAGATATCCCATATGAAGTGTCTGGGGATTGTAAAAATGTCTATTAAAAATGTTCATTAATGGACACTACAGTGAACATTAATGGACAATTCAGTACAGTGAAACACTACAGTGAACATTAATGAACATTAATGGACAATTCAGTACAGTGAAACTTTCATTAACGGACACTCCTGAATAGCCTCAATAGAGGCTATTCAGGAGTGTCCGTTAATGAAAGTTTCACTGTACTGAAGAAATTCTTATATATTTTGTGTAATCTGCTAAAAATCTTTGGTTTGTTGCTCTCTCTTGGATATAGACTCATTTAGAAAATATTTTTATGTATTTCATTATTTTCTCTGAATGTTAAAGCATCTAAACATTTGGAATAAAATCATTTGATACTTAATTTTTTATATTTAGCAAATTATTATTTAAAATAACTTTAACATACTATGTCTTGGTGAGCCTGTAGTATTAGCATTAAACATATTAACTTGTTCTTTAACATTAATTCCATTTGCAGGAGGATCAGGTGGTGGATTAACAGGTGGAGGAGGTATGTGATGAGAATTCTCTTTGTATCTGAAATATAGAAAAAATGTAGTTATCATTACATACTAAATAATTATAAAAAAAATAAAAATAATGTTTTGTTAGATGAGAAATAACACACAAAATTGTTCCAAAAAATTGATGAGACTGATAATAAGACTAAATTCAACAACCAATAATTACTAACTTAAAATGATGTATAATAATTATTTTACATAGATTTTGGCTATAATAGCCAATATTACATCCTTACAGTATTTAAATCAATCTATTCAGTTTTATCCAATATAAATCAGCTCTCTAAAAAGTAAAATCTCAATTATTGTCTCCTAAATTTAAACTATTTAATTAATAATGACAGCATGAGCTTAAAGAAAAACTTTATTTTTATTTTTTCTGTTGATGAAAAAATTAATCTTTTAGATAAATTTTATATAATTATTTACAACTTCTGATTGGTTTTTGTAAAATAAATTTCAAAAACGAACTTTTTTCCTATTTAAATACCTGTTCTATCATTAATGCCAAACATCTTTATTGAGATAATTAACATAAAATAATAATTACCACTTGGTAACTCATAGAAAAAGCTTCTAAAATGTTCAGAATATTTGTTACTTTCAAATGTAAGATCTGAAGTTGGCCTAAGTTGGACTGAAAATTGTTTATATAATAAAAATTTTGACTCTTGAAAAAGCAGTATATGTTTCTATTTCTTACAATATAGTTTCAAGGTTTACTCAGTTTAACCATTGTGAAAATCAGAAAATGGTTTCTAATTTGAAAAGATATAGAGTTTATAGTTCATATCATTTGCCTATATATAGCAAAAATCAGTTTTTGCTTATTAAATATATTTTATAATTGATTTTCAAGAAAAATTTTATAAATGTTTTGTTCAATTTCCTTTGAGTATGTAGTATTAAGTGAAGACATTCAAAAATAAAAGTTTTATTACAGAAAAACAAAAGTAGAATCAATACTTACATATTTTCAGAATATCTTATCTTTCCTAACAAATTTATTTGTAATAATTGTCAAAATTTTGAAAAATACTCATGCATCTTATGAAACACATGAAAACAGTTTTATAATTTTTTAAACCCAAACAATTAATAATGAAGAATTGTTTCAAAACATATTGAACTGTATTTAAATTACATCCTTTAAAAAAAACCTTATAAAAATTTCTTACATTATTGATATAAAAATATATATTTTTAATGAAACTGAAAAATATAAATATGTTGATCTAATATTCATAACCATAAAAGCAATATTAAAATTTTATTAAAATTGTTACCCTCTTTTCCATTTGCCACTCATAAACATCTTCATTTCATCAACTATTTCATGTGCCTAATAAATAAAATTTTTATTATGTTTAACACATTATGAAATGAATTTATCATGAAACAAACATTTTACTGTAAACATCAAAACTTACTTTAACACGTGCACATTGAAATATATGCATTTCAGATGGAGAATGATTCTTGTTCTTTGGATCTCCTTTTACAATAAAAATAAGAATGTTGTTATATAGTTCTCTTGGATCATCACTTGTGTAAGCAATTGGATCACTTATGAGTGACATAGGAAATCTTTCAACAATATCCTGTAAAAATTATTATTAAATTTAAAAAATTAGCCTTAAATTTTGTAATATTTAAAAATTAAAATATTGTTTTTAGAATTAATTATTTTCAAATAACTATTATTTTATGTTACTTAATGTGTACATATAAAAGTTTAATTTTGAAGTACAGTAGAGCGTCGATTTTCCGAATCAATTGGGGACTGGGGTTGTCCGGATAACTGATATTTCGGATAACTGATTTATGTACGAAAAAATAGTTTAACGTATCCGATGTCGAAATTTTTCTCCGTTGCGTGTCGCTTCGCATTGAATTTCCGTCGATGTTAAGCCTAACAAAGACTATTGTATTGTTAAAAATTATTTTTTATTTTGTACAAACAAAATAAATATATTGAAAAATATAAAAATAATAAAGAATTATACTTCAGATGTTAATTTAGTATCAAAAACGTAAAATATTTGAGTAGCCCAAGACATAGCCAAAGATTGAAGCGCCACAGCACTGGCGAAAATTTAAATTTGCCGACTGGAATTCTTTCGGATGATTGACGTTTCGGATGATTGACTTTCGGAAAATCGACGCTCTACTGTAT